ACTGAGCCCACATCGACTTTATTGAATCCTCCGCCAGATATAACCATAGTGGAAGGGAATGTCTCCCAGGGATTAAGCGTTGAGAAGTAAAAGGGGTGCTCGACATCGTCGGGGATGTATAAATCCTCCAATCGAGAAATTCACAGGCGATTGGAATGTTGATGTCGTCGGAAGATGGTTTCTCTTCCTAGACCTTCTTCGACTTAGAGGCGTCCTTGCGGGGACCTTCTTTTTTCTTGTATTGCTTGAGATGCCCATCTCTGATGAGGATCTCAATGACATCCTTAAGATGGATGCAACCTTCAGTGGTATGCATGTGGATCTTGTAGAACCGACAATATTTAGTTTTGTCTGTTCTGGGCTTGGACGATGTTTGTCGAGGAAAGTGGACACCGGCCTGACGAAACTCCAAATTTATGCAGTCGTCCAGGATGCACTCGTGTGAGGCGTTCAGGGGAGTGTAATCGTGGAACTGGCTAGTTGGCCCTTTGTATTCCCGTGATTTACAGGGCTTATCGTCTCTTCTTTTATCTTCTCCCCAATGAGATGTTGAGGAGTCATCGTGCTTTGAGGACTTGGCATTATCCTGATGTCGTGAGTCTCGTGCGTTGTTGGCAGCTTCTTTTTCTTCATACTTGATGTATACATGGGCCTTAAGAAGGAGGGCGTCCAATGTAGTAGGTGTTTCTATACCAACCACATTGGCGAAATCACTACGGGGACATAGCCCGCGCTCTAGCAAATATTTCTTCATATTATCAATCGTGGAGACCTGAACAACCTCGGGGTTGAACCTTTCTATATATAACATGAGGGATTTGCATTTCTATTGGATGATCGCCTCCTGCGATGATTCATATTTTGGATGTCTACGAGAGGCAGTAAAGTGCCTGGAGAATTATTTTCCCAAGTTCTTCCATGATGTGATCAACTCGTCAGGGAGGCTTTTGTACCAAGTCGTAGCCCCCTTTCTCAGAGTGGTAGGAAAAATTCGGCACTTGATGGCTCCCCAGACGCCTCTGTGAACGAGCAGAGTATCAATATTCTCTATGTGCTCGTCTAGATCGATGGTTATGTCGTACATCCCCAGATTCAGGGATTTCTCCAGCCCGACGGGTAGGGGAGTCTCCATAATTTCTCTTGATAATGGACAAGGGGGCTCGTCGTCTTTGCTTCGGTCTGGTGACAGTGGGGAAGAGTAATGGTTCCTCCCTCATCGAGGACTATTGTCTCGACGGGGAGACATGCTCCTCGGATGATGCTTTGGCTTGGGAGAGGGCGAGTGGTAGTTATCTTCCCATTGATTGCCATTTTTCCTCTTGGTGACTGAGGAACGCCAATCTATCTGTGAGGAGGAGTATGCTCGGGCTTCTTGATTAGCAAGGTTTCTGGTTTTTCTGGTGCAGCACAATGAATTGGTCGTGTTGGTGATAGGTTGCGAGACCCATATTGTCGATATCTCCTCGGAGGAGACCTTGAGAGACTCTTTTTCTCCAAGGCTCAGATCCTATTATTTTGTTGTAGATCAGAGTGTTGGTCTGATTTAATGTTGCAAGTAATCTTGCCATGGATGGGTCAGCATTGGTCGGTACCTGAACAGGTTGGAAGATGACTGGTGCTTCTTCTTAGACCCTTTTGGACTTCCAGACTTCCAAGAAGTGGATGCCGTCGTCCTCATCATCGTTAGAGGATGGAAACACGATGCAACCGTCTCTCGGGGGAATATCTTTGTAGAGATGTGTTTCTCCATCATTATCCGTCTTGCGGATAGGGGGATGACAGTCTTGAAAGCGAGATAATTGTCATCTTGATCGACCATAATTTGTATTTTGAAATTTTGCTTTGATCTTTAGTTTCCGGAGAAAGAAAGATGGGGAAAAAATTTCCCACAGACGGCGCCTCTGATCTTACCGGTGATCATAACCTGTAATGGGCTGATATATGCGTTTGTAATGTTGGAAATAAGGAAGAGGAGGTGTACATGTAAGGCACTCTGATGCTCAAGTAAGTAAGAGTGCAAATAAATACAAAAAAGAGTTTAGGGTTTTAAAAGTGAATGTTGGATATTGAATACCTGACCCTCATGAGTGTGAGGATTTATATAGTACCTCCGACGCTTGGCCATTGGTTCCTATTTTTAGGCCTGTATATTAGGTCCCCAAAATAGGTAACTACCAGGAACTAGTTGTTGTAACGGGTAGAAATGCTCGGAACTAATCATTGCTTCAAGCAGTGGCATGGTCACGTCTGTCGAACCGCGAATAAACACAAAGTCTCCACTGAAATTTATTTACCCTTAAGGAAGGGAAAATATAGAGAAAACCCCAAAGGAAAGATAAGATGGTCTTTCGACCAATAGAAAGGGTACAAAATTCGATTATACAAGGGGAAGATATTAGTACCCCTCACGTATGTGGTACTCCACGGGATCCACTTTGATTGTTTGTTTCTAAGGGTATGTCTATCTATGGCTTACTTACTAAGGGAATGCATGGATGAATTGCTTAAAGGAAAAAAGAAAAGTTTTTTATTATTGCGCTCACCTCGGTTTCGAAACTTCGTGCCTACGTATCCCCGTTGTGCAATAGAGAATCAGAGCACCGTAGTTCTTCTAAAAAAAGTTGGTTAGTTATGTGTTTTGTATGAACGATGTTAAGTTCATATCCTATTACAGCTCGACCTTTAGAGACTCACACATTGCATAGAATAAAATTAACATGTTCTTTAAGAAAAGAGTTAAAGAGAAAAGCCCTGAGGCAAAAGAGGTTGATGGTTTGTGGAGTGTTTTGTTACTTTGGAAAGTATTTAAGTATGATTTAAGTGTTTTGATTTTTTATTAAGAAAAATATTTTAGTTTTAAAAGATGCAATGCAAAAAAGGAAAGGACTAAGGGGAGTTAATCCTAATATTGTCATGCATCATGGACCTAATGTTAGGATTTATGAAGAGAATATTTATCTAACGTTGTCATGTACAATGGCCCTAAGGTGAGGATGAAAGAGAATTGTACTTATGCTATCATGCTTGGATTAGAATCCTAAGATCTAATTAATTCAATTTAATTGAGAGATTAAAATTGAATTAATACTCCTAAGGAAACACGTGAGCAAGAAAGCAATCAAACAATAATATCAAGTATTAAAAGCGATCATTAAGCGTCATCAAGATTCACTCATAAGAAATCATCAAGAAGTATGGCAAGATGCATACAATGTGTGGAATGAAGTGAAGGGAGTTGAATTAGGTAAAGGTAGGTTGGTTGCGACATGGCTAAGCACATCGACTTATGGACAAAGACATACGAGACTTGCTTAATTGGTTTATGATGGTGGAGTAGTGATGAAGAATTGTTGGAGGTCGATTGTGAATGTCTAAGCACCTGACTTACGGGTAATATAAGGGAAGCTATGCATAGGAACACCTAAAGGAGGGAAGTGGGAGAAAGAACTTCAATTAATTGTTTTTGAAAATAAACTTGGCGTTGGACCAAGATTTTGTTTTTCTATGGTTCGAAATTATTTTCTAGTTGTTTGATTTTATCTTGTTAGCATGCATCTCATACAATCAATCAAGCACAAAAAACAATAAATCCTACGCTATTACATCATTCATGGAGAAGGGGATACATTTTACCCATCTTGAGGGGACGGTACTTCACTTTGTTTAGCACAATCGTTCAAAGAAATTTAAAAACAAAATTTAAACAATTAGAAGTACAACAAATTAACAAATGTAATGGAAAGATAATATCCAAGGAAGGTGATCCAAGGCTTCCAAAATGTACCTCAAAACAGTAGCAAACAATTAATAACAATGCATAGAATGATGCATGAGATGAGGTAGAAATATGAATAAGATTAAGGTCAAAACAATGCTAAAAGGTCCTAAGAATCACATGGAACTTAAAGGAGAATCAAACATTTTAATGAACATATTATGAACACAAATATAAGACCAGAAATTCCTCATTAAGATCAGAATTTAAAGCATGTTGGTCACTCAATTAAATTGGCAAAAGATTAAACAAAAATCAATCAAAACTAACTTGTAAAACTACATGAAATTCAAGAAATTAAGAATTTGATTTCAAACATTTTTATGAGACTTTTACGATTAAGAACAAAGTGAGAAATTAGAGACAAATGTTGGGAGGTGTGGTCCAGGTGAGTATGTGACAAAGTAGGCCCAAGGCGCAATAAGCCCAAACACTACAGTTCAGTGTAGGTTTCAATTATTTATTTACTATATTTCTGGTTTCTAGGATTGAGATGAGGGTAGATTTCAGTGTAGGTTTCAGAGTGTGAGTTCAGAGAGTTTGGAGGATTGAGATGAGGATGGTGATTGTGATGGTGAAATGGTGCGTGGATGAATGTGGATGAAGGTTCTGAAACTGAAAAAATGGTGAGAATTGTGGAGTGAAGAATTGTTGAGATGAAGATGACAGTTAGAGAAGGGAAGGTCTCCTCAGCCCTTGGATCAGGAGAGTTGGTTATGAAATGGAGGGTGAGATGAGAAGTTAGTTATAACTGTTAAATTTTGTTATGCTATTAGTTTTTGGAAGTTGAAATTCGGTTAGTTAGTTATTGGATCTGTTAGGGTGAGCTGGCGGTAGTTGTTTATGTGTTTCAAAATTGGTTAGTAAGTTTAAATTTCTGTTAGTAGCTGTTATGGATATGTTAGCTGAACTGAGTTTATTTTGGATTAACTGAATTGGTTTGGTCATTGCATCTGTTTATTTGGGATAGCTTGGACTGGACTGGTTAATTCAAAACAGCTTTGTGTTCATGTGATTTTGTTTGACGTGAATTGATTTTGCAATGATTTTTGGTTTTTTTGTTTGGATTAGTATGGATTGAATTTTCAGGGCTGCAACTTGAGTGTACTCATGATTGTGGTAAGGTACTAATAGGGTTGATTGTGGACATTAAATGTGTAGGTTCATATGGCTTGACAAAATGCACGAAGGCTCGTGGTGTATGTTGGAATCAATTGGCTTTGCCTTAAATTTGGTGAATTGAAGGCATGTGTATTGTTGCTTGGATGAATATTAGCCTGTCATGAACTGTTTTGTGAATAGAAATGCATTTCATTTGTTTTGTGCCTAACTTTGAAGTTGCTTGAACACTTGCTTCTCTTTGAATTAGATGGTATGAATCGAATGTTGATGATAGGCAGAATATTGTATTGCCTGCTGCAAACGCAATAACAGTACCAGGACTGTGACCAAGAGATTCTGGAAGTTTATTTTCCATTTGATTTGCCTTAGAATTTTAGGAGTCACCAATACATCTGAATGTGTACCATGAGTGTGACCAAACTGCTTGTGCATTATACATGTTTTGAATGGGTTGAAGTCATGGTAATGTATGAAATGTATGCTCATGCTCTGGCTTTTTGTTGTATATGAACTGTTTTTGGTTTATTTACTGATGCAGGTCGGTTCTTGATATTGGATAATGCGTCTGATTTAGTGTTAATGTACGGGGCTGCAATTGTTATTGTGATGTTAGTTTAAATGTTGAAATGGTTAATAAGGTGGAAGGTCTGGTCCTTTTTTGATGGCATGGCATGGAGCATGTCTCGAAGATGGGACCATAGGCTTGGAAAGTAAATTGCAAGGTTGTCTCAAAAAAGATTTGGAAAAGAAGTTGAAGATTATACTTTAGGCTTAGGAACAAGATTTTTGTGTAGTTTTGATGTATGTGAAACGGTATAGCTGGATAGAAAATGTAGTGTAAATTGTAGTGATGTTATGGTACTTTGTAATATTGAAAAGAAACATGAGCGATATTTGAATGGTTTATGAAGCCAACTTTGGTTAGGCATGGTTTTTGATGTAAGATTGTACTTCCTCCAGTCTTTTTTATAAGAAATATTTCATATTTTTAGATTTATTGAATAATCAATGTAGTTGGTTTGTAAACAGTTCAGATACATTAATTATTTAATGAATTTAGAAAGATGAAATGTCTCTTATAAAATGGACCGGATGGAGTAACTTGTAAGCCTGAATATTCTTTGAATAAAGTTTTTGAATGGTGTATGAAACTTGAAACCTTTGTCTTTGTAATTGTAACTTGGACTCCAAGGAGTACATGTAAATCTTCTTCCAACTTTGTATGCTTAACATCTTAAGAACAATGATCTTTTGGACATTTTGAACAAAACTTGAATTTATGGAATCATTTGAATAAATTTTAAATCCACATCAACTTGCATATTCAATTCTCAAAATCCAAATTAAGTATTAACAACGTCTTGCTCACAATATCATCTTTATACCATGACTCATATTTTTCAATGACGATCTTAGAACAAAACCCACGCCTTGAAGAATCCTTGAAGATCAATATGGAAATATGCATGGCTAAAATAGCTTTGACATGAAAATCCAATAAAACTCAGTAGATGAGTATTGATAACTCAAAACTCCATGAATAAGAAACCATAATCCTCTTGTCTTGGGTGCCTTTTGAATGAAGAGTCATCTTAAGATATTAAGAAGAACCAAAGCATCAACTCAATAAAATCCTTAGTCAAAATCATTGATGAAGCTCTGAGGATCTTGCCCTTGATGAAGATGACAACCTTATAGCTAGATGCAGAAGAAGCCCACACAAAACCCCTGGTTCCACAAACCCTAATTGACGAAGAACCAATTGAAACACATTTGAGTGAAGATGAGAGCCTAAAAGCAGAGATAAACTCTAATTTCTCAATATCCTCGATCTCATGCCAAATTATTGATTAATGATGCATGATGTATAAAATGACCTAATGGAAAAAGTAATGCACATGGAGGAATGAAATGCACAAGCCAGATGATTTGGTAAAGGGTAGGACAAATTTGGAGTAAGAAAACGGACAATCACGTTATGGTCGTTCCTGGATGGTTGCTTTGTGCGTGACAGATAGAGTGAAACTAGCTGTTGGCGCGAGCATAGGTACAACTAAGGGTAGTGGCGATCTCGTTGGTCCTGAGGAACAACTGACCACGCGTCCCCTGTTCAGGGGCAGAAGGGAAATGTGACATGTTTGTCCCATCTAATTTGGGCTAAGGCTATTGGAACCTCCTGGATGTAGAAGTGGATTGGGTCATGCTTAACCATTGGGCCAGACCAGAACAATAAGATTTTATGTGAATGAGAAAATTTTCTAACTAATAGATTGAATTATAACGGGCGATTCTTCAATCCTGCAAGAATGAAAGAAAAAAATTGATGCATCAAATTTGTGTTGTACAATGAAATAAGGAAAATATTATTCTACAACAACATATGTGAGAAGGAATGAATTGAAATTGAATTCAAAATTGAATAGTTGAACTAGTGCATTTTTTATATATAGTGGAGAGGAAATAACAATTTGATAAATATAAGGCGTGAATCACGCAGAGCCATTGAGTGGTCGGCCGGGGATCAATATGGCCGACCCAGAACAATTTCCCCATAATTTAAAAGTATTTTTAAAGATATCCTCATTATGACCCTTGGAAAGTAGAACACTTGAGTGTGACGCAAGAGTGATTTGGAGCGTTGATAGAGACTATTTTCTTTTTCATACTAGCATATTATTCTTGGATAGTCAGCTTCACATTTCCCAGAGTTATCTTTTCCAGTTTGATGTGACCTTCTTTTCTTTGATATTTTTATATTTTGCACATTCATAATTTTAAAGCTTTAATGCTTAGACTTTATGATGTAGAGGCAATCTTGTATGTCCAAGAAGCTTAACTTGATAAGTACAACCAAGAACTATCGACCTGTTTACCGTGAAATTTAGTAAGCAAGCGCTAATCTTTAAAAAAAGGTTACTTGCAAGATCGACCCGTTGATCCTATAACATATGTGCTTGAGTGTTATGATAAGTACAAATTGTAGTTATTTTTGTATATACTTTTTGTTGCACTTATTCACTTTTTATTGTAAATATCGTTGAATAAACCCGACTTTGGTGTAAATACGTTTAGTTTGTGTTTATTTGTGTTTTTGTGTATATAGTGTACCGTTTTGTGTTTTTTCATTCATTTTATAGGTATTTGTTGCATTTTGGAGCATTGAAGAATAAGGTGTCGAAGGCACGGCTCTGGATGCGCGTTTTCATAATAAAAGATCAGTTTTAGGATATTTTGTTCCGGAGAGACTGCTTAGCGCGCAGAGGCCGCTAAGTGCGACCGCACTCAGCATATTTTGTAGCGCGCTGCTTACGTTTGGACAATTTGGCAGAGCCAATGTTTTGAAGCCCGCTTAGCGCGCTTAGTGCAGTTTAAGGTGGTTTAGTGTGTAAAATAAGGAAGTCGCGCTTAGCGCGCCAGGCTCGTTTAGTGCGGTTTGCTGAAATTTGTTTTATAATTTCATTTCATTCAGTTTTTAGGTGATGGTTTTGGGGAAGTTTTTGCTCCCAACTCCATCAACCTTTAATTTTGTTAGGATTATCTTAGATAACAACTATGAAGCTTGCATACGGATGATTCGAGGTGGATTGCTCTTGGATCGGTGTTGACAAATCGGTAGATTTGTGGTTCATTTCTCTTTTTCTTTGTGTATTCTCTATTGGTTGGGTTTGTATATGTATTTACTTTGATCTCATGTATATTTTTCGCCTTTGGCATTATATAAAACTTGCTTTACAAATTTTTGTCGATTGTTATCCTAGATTTTGCTCTGTGTTAGGAATTTGAGTTACTATAGACGTATACTGCTTAGATTCTTATATAGGATGATTATATAATAGTGTCTGAATTCTAGAGATAGATTTAGCATTGTTATTCACTTAGGGTGTCTGTGATTAATGCATCTGTATTGTTTGTGTCGCTCCGAGAGATCGCCGATGCAAGCGAGCACGATTGACTTCTATGTTGTTGAGGTGGTTGAGAGATTGTTGCCGAGGTGATGCAGTCGGCCTCTCAATTTGGGTTAGAAATTATTTAGGTTGTGAATGACACGTGATGATATTGAGAACATTGTAGGTTGAGTATAACAGGTCAATAGGTTTAAGTCTGTGAGAAGTAGTATATATGCATGTTTGATAAGTTATTCCTTTTTTCCTTTTTATACATTTATTTTTTGTTGATACTTTTACTTTCAATCCATTTATCCCCAAACTCATTAACGAGAGAATTATCGAACGAAGAATCAATAACCAATCTCTGTGGACATGATACAATATAACCTAAATATCAGCTGGTAAATTAATAACTTACTTTTTGCTTGCCGCTCTACCGCCGCAACAAAATGGCGCTATTATCGGGGATTGATTCTATTGTTTTCACATTGCGATAATTATTTTGTTTTTGAGTTTTGTAATTAATGTATATGTTTTATAGAAATTGTACATGAATTTGTATATGATTATCATATTTGTGAATTTTACATGTTTTATATACTTGTGCATATATGTGTTTTTTCTTGTTTTCACGTATTGTTGTGAATTGTCTCGTTTTCGTAACATTTGTTGTGTGGATGTAAGGACACTTTCTTTAGGTTTGGACGGTGTGACAATACCATGACGAGAGGAGGTTACTAGCTCGCACAATAAAGGCGTTGAGTTTACAACGTAAAATAAACATGTATCGTTTGTATTCGTTTATGTATGTGTTGACTTGTATTTTAACAAGTTGAAATATGACTCGTTTTAAATTCTCAAATTTTCACTTTTCAACTTAGTAGTTCACTTTTACCCGTTAGTTTTGTTATGTCAATTTGTGTTTTTCCGCAAACTTGTCGTGTTTAGCTTGTGAAAGTGTGTTTGTATGTTGTAAATATTGTACATGTGTAGTTGAGATTGTATAGGTGAATGCAGAGGTTGCATTGCTGTTGCTATTCTGGTTTTTCTGCAACTGGTGTAGCGCACTAAGCGCAGTTTAGGCCGCTTAGCGCGCTCTCCTGTGCTGCGCCAGTGAAGTTTTTTTATAGTTTTCGCTTAGCTTTCCTTTTCCCACTTCCACCTAGGCTTTAAATAGTGAATACTATTAATATAATTAATTCTTTTATTGTTGTTTGGACTCAATTTTGATTCGATAGCTTGAAGTCGCTTTTGGTGATTTTCCAAATTTGAGTGTTTCAACTTACGAATGCGTGGTAATAATTTTGTTAAAGTTTTGTACACGTTTGAGGTATGTATTTATCGCTTTCTATACTTTAGCATATTCATGATGCTTAGACTTTTTACAATTTTTATGCCAATCATTCTTTATTTTATACTTGTTCATTTATGAATCACTTTAGTTCCTACCACTTTTGTGAGGTAGCTT